AAAACTTATGTCAGGATTTTGAAAGACCCGATTAAAAAAATGATTAGTAGTCTCAAAAGTTTGATTACAAGATGGAAAAATCTAAAATATATTACAAAAGATTTTTATAAAAAATTCAGATGCAATGATGGCACGTTACTCTATGCCTATGGTCTTCCCAAGGTATACACTGTTAAATCTAGTGTCAAATTTAACCTAACGTGAATCGCTACTGCTGCTACTAAATATGTCGTTATTTTTTACCAAAACAATAGTTAAATTTGATACTATATTGTGTCAATTTACACTATATAGTGTTAAATTGACACTGTATAATGTCAAATATAACTATTGTTTTAGATTTAATAAATATATAGTTGATGCCATTCAGAATCATTATTTCATCAATAGGCAATCCGTTTTATGCATATCCGTTTTAGCTACATGTCATAAACAAATTATTAGTAAAGTTACCAAAAAGTTTAGTCACATAAATAACAGTTTTGAATTGGTTAAAAAATTATATATACATTGACAAAGACTATAGTCTAATTTATGAACATTCCTAGAATTAGTGATTCAATCTATTTCAAAAAGATGGAACTTCATCTTAGAGATTGCACAATTCCGGAAGATGAATTTCTAGAATGGTTAGAATGATTTTAGAGTTTATTTTAAATTTGAAAATTGATATTTTTTGAATTTTATAACAATGGGATCCCTATGAGCTCACCTCTGTCACTTGTATTGGCGGATTTAGTGATACAAAACTTACAGAGTGAGTTAAATATCTTTGACTTTCATTCCATTTTATTATAAATATGTGAACAATATCGTTATGGCGGTTCCATCTAAACATATTTATAATATTTTACATACTTTCAATAATTTTCATCTAAGGTTATAATTCACTCTTGAAATAAGGGGAGATAGCATAAATTTCTTGGATTCATCAAAACGATTAAAAAGAATGTCTTATAGTTTGATCAAAAACCTACTTATTCGGGGAGAATTTAAAATTTTTGGTCTCAATATCCCATTTCACAAAAAAGAGGTAATATCTGGCTTGTTTGAGCATTTCTACTTTCGCATCTGGAATTCCATAGAAAGAATTTTTTATTAATATCTTACATCAAAATGATTTTTCGTTAGATTTTATTTTAAAAACATAAGAAAAAGGATTAATTTATTGTTAAACAAAATATTCCAGTTGCAGCACAAAAAAGAATGAAAGAAATAATATAAAATGGTTCATACCCTATAAAGTTTTTTAAACAAATTCAGAAACATTGTTAATGGATAGATCACAATTTCGTTCTTTAATATTAAATAAATTTAATAGATTTATTAAGGTACATAAAGATCCTCTTCTACAGATGGAAAAAAAATGTTGTATACAAAATCGAATATAAGGACTGTGATGCATTTTATGTAGGTCAAATACGTAGAAATTTAAAAACCAGAAAGAATACAATATGATAGAACACATCTTCTAAATTTTATCACTGATCACAGATTGCATTACGGTCATGAATTTGATTGGGACAATGCAGGTGTACTGGATGTCGAAAATTTTTATTATAAACGTTTGATTTCTGAAATGCTTTTTATCAAAGTCCAGAAGAACTGTTTAAATTAAAAAAAAAAAACAAAGTCTAGATCATCGCATATGCGAACATTTTAGACAAACTCATAAAATACAATAATTTGACTTATTAGTTTTTTTCCATCACAGTTAGGAATATATATTTTTGTCATTATATCATTTAATGTCGACGAGTTAAGACATAATTTACTGTATGTTAACCTGTCAAAATTTATCGACGAATTTTATTTAAATGTGTAATTGTATTAACGATTAAATTTTGTATTTCTGCTAAACAACGGAGGTAAGCTCAAATAATAAAATTTGGTTACTTATCATTGCAATTCATTAAAATGTATTATATTATTTGATATAAATATTCCTTATGGAATTAAACATAGAGAAGACTTTCACTCAATCAAGTGATGTTAGTAATTTTACAAGCACAACTTCCACAAAACAATACATGACACACACAAACTGATTGCGAATGCTTAATAATATTCAAGATTTATGAAGATTTATTTTTCACCGCTGAGAATGATCCCAAAATAGGATCGAAACGTTCGGAAACATTGTATTATAATTGATTACATTATATGGATGTTTAATTAATTATTAATGCATTTGAATTTTGTACGCACCAATTATCGCGTTGATTTTTAATTGTTCGTGAATTTTTTCTTATTAATTTTATTATATTGTTTTAATTAAAAAAAAAACAAAATTTTATTTATATTTGTAATATCTGTATAAATTTAATTTAAATATAAATTGAATATGCGAATGCAAGCAAACCGACACGTAATCTCTAAGGCTTCTCATACTTTCAAACTCGTCCGTGGAACGTATTTCTTAAAATGGCAAACATCCGTGATCTATTTAGTTAATAAATTTGAAAAAACAGACAGATACATTTACATTTATTATTTATTTATATAAATTTGCTCCTACTTTTTAAATTTATATTGAATGAAATTTTCTAAAACTATTTCTCAAATATATAATGAGATAAATTCGTATAATAAATCAAACTAACCAAGACTCCTTGTAAATCAAAGAATAGGAAAGGATATGGGCAGTAGGAGTCAAGTACAGAGAGACGTGCAAATAATATATCTATGATGTGTGAAATTTCTTTCACTAAAACACGCTTACATGTTTCGGCTCACTTTTGAGCCTTTCTCAGAGACAACAACTATATAAAAACTGTGAATAAAAATTATCCTGTCATAGTGAGCTCCCTCATGATAAATTAGTTCTCCATATTCTATTTTACGATATTTTCTAATTTCTTTTCTTTTTTTCTTTTCCTTTTTTTTCATTCTTTTTGGTTTTAATTCCGACATTTAAATTCTCGATAGAGGAGTTCATCATAACAGGATAATTTTTATTCATAGTTTTTATATATGTTAGTTTATGTTGTCTCTGAGGAAGCGAAGTTGTCTTCTGCGCTTTACTCCTACTACCTGTATTTTTTCCAATTCTATAATGAGATATATGTGTGAAGAATGTGCTGTATTTCCTGTTTTTATTGATGACAGCTTTAACGTCGGCACGAATTATTTTTAGGCGTAAAGAATTCGATAATTATAATTGAAATTTCGAAATTTAATTCTAATTCTTACTATCGTTGAAAATCCAATTTTATACACATACGAAGTCGTGGCGCGTGTACGCAAGCTTGTACTGCTACGTAAACTAATGAAGTGTAATTCAATAATTTATAAATTCTGAAAATTATTGCGTCTAAAAACCAGCTTATAACCCAATGGTTCATCGACTTGTAAAATTACTAGTCGTATTTTTTTAAGAGTACTTTTTTTTGAGATGTAAAATTTCTGATCATTAATTAAAATTTCATATTTATCAAATTAAATCATAAAATTAAATGTATATTTGCATTATACAATTATTATGTTATTATTAATAAAACATATTATGTTATTATTAATAAAAATGATGTTCCAGATATTTTATCTTATTAAATATAATATATTTAACGCATAAAAAATTATGCTCCCTCTTTTCGTCTTTAGATCATCTTTTTTTTTTTAAATTATACATAGTACTTTTTTTTTTATTCAGGTATACAATGGTAACCCTAATCACGATCCATTTTTGAAAATCTTTGCTCTAAAGCATGGCGTTGCTTTCTTTTTGAAAAAACGTGATAATGTCCCTTTTTATTAATAGATTCTCTTTATAAGATCTTTATAATCTTAATTTAGATCTTTATAATCTTGATTTAAGTTACTTTTTACCATTTTTTAGAATTTCTAAGAATTAGAAAAGAATAAAGAGTAAATCGACATTAAAGGGTGCGTTTCGAATTACGTATGAAGTGCATGAGGTATCATTTTATCTTTCTTTATTCTTCGATAAATAACAAGAACAAATGACGTATATCACGTTTGTTTTGTGCATAATTCGGAATGCACTCATAATTAATCTATTAGTATAAATAGATATGAAAACGTTATTTGGCGAGTTTTTCTTCTTTACATATCACGTGATCAAAACGTGAACGTCAAATCAACAGAAATCAGGAAACACTCGAGATTAGAATATGTCAGACTGTATATGGCTATACTTAGAAAAAAATTTTATTGATATTGTTATTCTAATCAAATTTTTGGTTAGGACAAAAAGGTTGAAGTTGGTCACATATCAACAAATTCATCATTTTTTCTGAGTGTAATTCGAAACTTGATTGTGACCACAACACGAGACTCAGGCACACAAGAAAACTGAAGGCAGTAAGACATAAGCAGTAAGGAAATCAATATGTTGGTAGCTCCTTATGTTGTATGGACTTACGGACTCTACTGTGATTAATCAATTCGTTTACTGTTTACGTTTTATTGCTTAATTTTTTTTGTGTGCCATGGCCCTCATAATTATGTTTACACGGTCACTCTTATTCCGATTTAAATCCGTAGTTAGAAATTAATCAATCACAATCATTCCATTCTTCAGAGGAACAGCTGATTGTTCAGATTGGTCAGTTTCATAACTTAAATCCTCCGATTAAGGGTGCCATATAAATATGAGGTTTATCAGTATGTATACGTAGAGGGAGAGGGGAGAGGGAGGGGGGAAACGAGAGAGGACCACGAGACGGAGGTATCCTGGGCAAGTTACCGATAATTTCTGTGCATTCTGGCAAACAAGCATGGCGCGCTTAGGTATACGTAATGTTCGAGAATATACAGTTAGTTGAGAATATACAGTCATTGTTTTCTCACGATTGTAGGAAACGAGATCGTTCTTAAAAACGTCATTCAATCATAAAGTTATTGCAACGGCAATAATAACGACGAGAGAGAGAGAGAGAGAGAGAGAGAGAGAGAGAGAGAGAGAGAGAGAGACTGATTGGTGAATATCTCATCTTGACTTGCGAGTTATCATTATCATTATCGTTGATCCCCGAAAGAGAAAAGAGGATTCACGGTGATATTCATGGAGCGGAAGGATACAAACAAAAATTCGGAAGTGGATACTAACGAAGATACAGAGGAAGATACAACAATCACGAGCGAGCGGGGCACGCTGGAAGTATTTGATTCTCTCGAGGATTCGGTTACGTCGTTAGAGATGGAACAGTCGGAGACCGGTCGGAGAACGAGTATCTTCAAATTCTATTCGTACAAGAATGTAGGTGAGTGTGACTATATTATATATAATTGTGCGATGCGCAGAGAGCGATAAACTGAATTCGTGTTGATAAACATTTAGGTATTCGATTTAAATACCACATTGACGAT